TTCTAGGGTTTGTGCGCCGGGTGACTGAGTTGATGGTGCTCCAAAGACGCCTAGGATCTCGCCGGTAATCGTCACAGATGGAGCGGAAGTGGGCATTTCGGAGTTGGCGATAAAGGTTATTGCATTTGCTGCGCAAAACTTTGAACTCCTTCTGTAGAACCGTACTACAGCAGTCAGACGAGCGGTACTTTCTGTAGACGGTTTTACGTCGCCTAATGAGAGCTAGTAATTCCGGTGTCATGAATGGGCACTTCTTCCTTTTTCCAGGGGATTGTCTCCGTGATATTATGTAGGGTGCAACCACATCCAAGGCGTCTTCAAATTTTCCTTGCCACTCTTCTAGCATTACATCGACCGACGGGGACGAGAAGGATCCGAGATCAGAAATTGACAATAAATGAGAGAGATCAGAGGCAGAGGCCTTACTGTAATCACGGCGGCGGGATCGATATATTTGTCCTTGTGTTGGAATTGACTTCGGAAAAATAATACTGGTGTGAACAAACTCATGATCGGTGAACTCACAGGAGTGAACGCTTCCGTGCTCAACACAATCCATGTTCGTTAGTACACAGTCGAGAAGTGTTTTAGATGTAGGTGTGATCCGTGTAGGGTGCGTAATCATATTCTTCAGATCAAGGGGAAGTAGCAGGTATGTGTTCAAATTGTCAAAATGATGCGTTTGAGGGGACAAGAAATCAACATTTAAGTCGCCCATCAGAATGAGATCTTCGCCCTGAATGTCATACATGACTTGCTGTAAAGATTGCCAAAAAGCCGCCGGTGCGGACGGTGGCCTGTAGAGACAGCCAATGAGGAATGATTCACCTGCTTCTCGTTTTTTGGAACGCAACCAAACCATTTCCAGGTCGATGTGTTGAATCAACATCCGCTTAAACCCAAGTTGCAACCTGCTGTAAATCACTACACCGCCGCGCTTTTGGCAAGGTGTTCCATTTGTACAGGAGCAGTTGTAATTGCACTTTCTGTCGAGACGGTGCATTGAGAACCCCCGGATGTCGACTTCTGAGTCCGAGATGCTGTTGTCGAGCCATGTTTCTGATACTGCTAAAATGTCTAAGTTATGGACCCGGACAAGCTTGGACAACACGAAAAGCTTATTTCGCAAACTACAAATATTATTATGACCAATAGATATAGAAGAATATGTAATGCAATGAGGGGAAGGGTGTGAAGAACTTGCGTGGGGCACAAAGGGTTGGGCAAGAGGATTTAGATTTGATCTGACTTCATTCATTGTTTCTCGTCCGTTGAGTAGCGACGCTGGTCTTCTCTGCCTGAAGTGCGATCATCATCGGATTTGAATCTCCAGGGTCGGGCAGAGACGTTTGACGGCCAGAAGTCGGGTTTGCTGACTGTATCCATGTCCTTTGCGTCTATCAGCACATGTGCAAAAGCGGTGCCAAAGTATTTGGATTCTGAAATGTTGCATGATACGACCTCAACGTCCCGATCCCTGCACCAATGTACGATTCCATCTGCGTGGCAGCCAGGATTAATCCCTCCCACATATAGAGCTGCATATTTGACGGGCTGGACGCCACAGAGCTGCGACTTCCCTGGTGCATGGAATTGGAACCTCAAACCTACGTGATCATAGACGATATACGCATTATGGGGTTGAAGCACGGCAGCCAGCGAGAATGTCTCTACAAGTTGTTCACGATGTACAGTCATCATCATCAGCTGAACGTCTTTTTCCTTTCCCAGAGCTTCGACAACATGAAGGATATGAAGATCAACGCTAATTTCCTGTACTTGTTTCGCTTCACCGATAGGAGTAACATCAAGCGGTATTTGAATACCCTTTTTGGCGGCTCATCGGTAAAATCTGCGCTGACTTTCAAACTTTATGAAAAGCTGTTGATTATGTGTCAGAGACCAATTCTTGCCATAGACTGTTCTAAGAACACCTACTCAACTTATTGTGATGGAGAAAGCAATAAAGTTAATTTCGAATGAATCGGTCTATTTTGTAAACTTCTTCACTTTTGGCCTAAAACTTAGCCTAAATTTTAGCCTGAAAACCACCCCAAAATCTAGCGCAAATTTTGGCCAATTTAAAAAAAAAAAAAAAAAAAAAAAAAAAAAACCTCGTATACATTTGAGTACGTCCGGTGCGAGTCATGGATCACTTACTCGTACAATTTTCATCGGGGTTACCCAGTACTATAAGGGCTATAAATAAAAAGGGTTTGTTCAGAATACCGAAGAAGAAACGACTTCTCGTTCTAAAACACATTCAAGAGCACCCCGAATACGTAATAGTGAAGAGGCGCAGGACTTGGGAAGTCTTGGGCACCGCTCCCCCGATGACGCAGAAGGGAGGTAACAGCTACAACGCTTTTCTGAAAAATGCCAAAAAAGTTCTTTCCAACGTACCCGGAAATCCGCTGGAAAATGTCAGTCTTTTGGAGCTGCAAAAAGATGCTCAGATCAAACGGCTTTACGAGGATGTCTTCAAGCACAACCCGGATCTGATAGGGTACGACTCGGTGAGAAATGCGATCGCATCGACCATCCTCAACTACGATGGTAGCAGCGGTCAGATACGAGATTCTCGTTCGGATGCGCGAAGGAAAAGAGCTGATGCTGGCACAGTGACGACGGCATCTTCTGCCAGTTCATGGGGATTGAGTCGCCCTCACGAATTCGACCTATGGACTCTTCAGCTGATGGATAATTTGCTCAAAGAAAAGGATATACCTGGGGAATTCCTACAAAGTCCATACTTCACAAACAGAACGTCTCTGCTGAGGTTGTATGAGCAGGATCGCGAACATTATCGAAGCATTGTCGAGCGTCACATAGAGCAATTGGAATCGGAAACTGCTCACGACTATAAGGTGTTGGTCAATCGAGTGTCACAACAATACCTCGCTCGATACCCCTTCAGAGTAATGGCGGAGACTTTCAAGGATAAGTTCAATTTCGTAAATCTAGGCCCTAAAGTCGCTAGCCTCGAGATGCTATCCAGCGTGGTTAGTAGCGCATATGACAAATTTCCAACTCTCGATGCTCTCCGACAGGCTTATGCAGCCTCGGACGAAGCAAAGTACGTAAACGTTAACGATTTCATGAAGCCAATCCAGAGGTGCCTGACTAGTGATGAAGGGTTCGCTCATCAACTGTTCAAAGCCAATACCAGAATCAGAAAAAAAGTCCAGGAAATCCTTGCGGGCAAGACCATACCGTAGCTGTTTAAAAAAAAAACAAATAATTAAAAAAAACTAGCAAATCGTAAGGAGTGTACCATGGAGAAGGTGTTTTTGAACTATGCTCTAACGAATCATGATATCAACCATGTTCTGCAAGATGTTCACGCCTTTCGGGGCGTCGGTGCATACGACCACCTACCACATTTGGATACCGGTCAGTTCTGCATAGTGAACACGGACAACGTGCACTCATCGACCACCAGCCCCCCTGAAGGTGGACATCATTGGATAACGATCTACCGGGATGGGCGGTATATTATCATCTTCGATAGCTTTGGTAGAAGCTTGCATGATATTGGAGTCGATTATGATGAAGTGGACTTTCACCGTTCCATTGCCATCAGATTTCCACCGAACAAGTACGATTTGATCACAACAACTCAATCGATACAGCATTCTAGAAGTTCTGTTTGTGGATGGTATTGTATTCTAGTAGGTCTTCATCTTCTCACCTTCGGTGTAACGCAAACCCTTCTCTTTTTTAAAGAAATGTTCGGAGCGAATTTACGTCATAACGATGAGATTCTTTTTCACATCATCAAGTGCATGCTCAGAACAGGTGTGTTCGGTCGAGATGTGAGACGGAACGTCAAAAGTCTCACCGATCTAATGAATCATAGGATTAGAAAATAATTTCACTCAATATTTATCTACAATGGCTGAGAGCGAGTGGGAGAGGGAACTCGACAGGTTGGTCAGCGGGCGAAAGCCCACCGACTGGCATCAGCTCGCCAAAGAACTACACAGACCGAGGCGAATCCATTTCAGACGCCGCTCCGTTAGAAGCACGGGTGTGGATGAAATTTGGAGCGCCGATCTCGTCGACATGCAAGCTTACGCACGACAGAATCAGAACTATAAATTTCTCCTCACCGTTATCGACTTGTACTCTCGCTACGCTTGGACGATTCCTTTGAAGCGTAAAACAGGCATCGAAGTCAGAGATGCTTTTCGTCGAATTGTCAACACGTCCGATCGCATTCCTAAAAAGTTATGGGTGGATCGAGGAAAGGAATTCTACAACTCACCTATGAACGTGTGGAGAGGTGAAAATGACATCGACATTTACAGCACTAACAACGAGGGGAAGGCTGTTGTTATCGAGCGCTTCAACCGTACCCTAAAGAGCAGGATGTGGAAACACTTTACGGAAACTGGAACGTACAAATACTTCGATGTGTTACCCAGTCTACTGCACAGCTACAACACTACCAAGCATAGAGTCATCTCGCAAACCCCGAGCGAAGCTGCACATGGGAAAAATATTCGCATCGCAACGCGACGAGCAGATCAACACCCCAAGTATCACGTTGGAATGAAGGTTCGCATCTCGAAACAGAAAGGACACTTTGAAAAAGGTTACACACCGAATTGGAGTGAGGAGGTGTTTCGAATCAAGACGGTTCTTATCACAGATCCTATTACTTATCAGTTGGAAGATCTCAAAGGTGAAGAACTCACAGGCGGTTTCTATGAAAAGGAATTGCAACGAGCTCAAGAAACCGGTCTGAGACTGAACAAAGTGATTAAAACGAGGCGTGGTGCGTCTCTGATATCCTTCAAGGGCTATCCAACCAAGTTTGATGAATGGATAAGAAAATCAACAGTGAATCGGTTGCGTAAGCAGCAGGATGCAAACATTCGAAAAGCGAATGGAGAAGAAAAACATTTGAATAAAAAATAAATAAAAATAAAAACGAAAAAAAATGTACTGATAATGGAATGATCGGAGTACCTGCCTCTACGCTGCGATGCGTGCGTTTATGAGGGGATCTTATAGTGTCCGTACGCGAGCGTGCTCACACCATCTCCAAGGATGTACCTCTTGCTGTCGAACGGTGAGAGCGCAACTTTGCGGATAGATTCGTTGTAGATGTGATGATCTCGACTGCGTAGGACGTTCATCTCTCTCTGGATGCTGCGCTGATCACGTAGGAGACAATCCTTATACGTCTGGAACTGGAGGGTGTCTTGCACAACCGACTTCTTGACGCCCTTGGCGCGCTTCGCAGACTCTTCACCGGTGTAGGCATACATCTTGGAGCGAAGGCCCACAAACTCACTCATGATCCGTCCACCAAGCTCGTCCTTGAACTTACCAACGACTTTCTTGTTTGTGGTGGAGTGCAGAGGATGATCTTCAGGATAGTTGGATGTATCGTACTGGTCTGCCATGTCGGCCATGTCTGCATACAGGTCATCCGTGACGTACCGTAAGATGAATGAATCGGTGTCCGTATAACACAATCGTACGTTCTGACCATAGCGGGGCTTGAGAGTATCGTAGTAGAAGCTATACATCAAAACCTTCGACAGCTCCAGGATAGAGAAACCCACGTATGTGGGTTTGTTGAGCACCACTTTACACTTGAAGAACTCCACCGCAACCAGATCGTTGTCGTATACGATACTGCGTTTGTACGTCGGTTTGCAGATGGATCGACGCAGTCTGCTCACCTCTTCCTCAGAGCGGATGAGTTTCACATTCAAACGACGACGAACATTCTCCATAGTCTTCCCGAAGACAGCGTTGTTCATGAGTTTGTAGAAATCCTTTTCAAACTCTGACGTTGCGTCCTTGCGGAGATCAGTGTTCAGCTGGATGTATGGACGCATCCATGGGCGTTGTGAGAAGCGGAGGATGCGATGGACGTTGGTCACTTCCACGCCTAGAGCAACGTAGGTCTGCAGATTGACGTAATGACATACGTAGTGGGTTTTCGGTAGCAGAGTGAGCATCAGTTTCTTCTCTTTCTGTTTGGTCAAGCCGAGCTCTTGCGCAAGTTGCTGCTGATGTGGCGACAACATGTCATCCGTTACGGTGATATTCTCTGGACAAGGGGGGTAGTCGTTCAGAGCATCGTGGAGGCTGGCAGGAATTGACAGATCGCATTCCACGATGTAACCCAGGGAAGAATCGTGTGGATGCGTGGTGGTTATAGCCTCCACGAGATCATCGCTGATGTCATCCACGAAGCTGAAGTTGCTGGTAGGTAGGTGCTGCTGCATCGCCCAACCGTAGAGGTTGTTTGCATCGACGTACTGCAGGTACGATGTCGGCTCAGATGGATTGTAGTCATCGGGGATGTGGCTGTTGTTGGCTTTGGCGTACCTCAACACGTTCATGCTTATCCCACCACGAATGCCATGTTCGATGAAATTGTGCATCGTCGAATCTGAAATAAGATCTAGCTGGATGTTGGTTACCTTCAGTAACGCACTCCACGCGAATCCGGGTAGCGTGTAATAGTTTGCAGGGTCCAGCGAATATGTAGCGATCGCCGTGGTTCGAAAATTTTCAAACACATCCGCTAGCAGGTAGACGTCGGACATCAGATACAAATCATGATAATCGCGTAGAGTGGTGCAGTTGAACTGATCCCACACCGTTCTAGCATGCTCGTACTCCTCAGCCGTGACACCTGCTCCGGACAACGATGAATAAAACTTCTCTCTCGGAGGAAGACTATCCTCTTCGAAGCGGTTGAAGGAATCCATATACTCATATGGGTAAACACCTTTCCGAAGCAGAAGATCCATCTTTTCAGGATCTTCATCATGCAGATCACGCATGCGAATGAATGCTTCTTTCGGTGTTGCCTTTGCGAGCTTCTCCAGCGAAGTGCTCAGAAACGCGAACGAGTCGATGAACACAAACTGTCTCCACATCATGGCGATGTACTTCTCCGTATTAGATGGTACAATGGTGATCGATCCACGCTCCACGGTATGCTCTTTTCCTTCAGCATCCAGGTATGTTACTTCGTCTATCTTCGTCTTACCGAAGTGACGAACGATGTGATGAGCATCATACCCTTTCAGGTTATGGAACACTATGGGAATGCGTACTTTAGCAGGCACAATGCGTAGCTGTAGGTTGCAGGACTTGTGCGCAGCTCCACGAAACGCACCCGTCATGTGATCATGATCACGCACGCGATCTGACCCCAATCGACGGTCGCATATCCAACAGTTCACAGTGTTCCGGAAGCTGGTTTCCTCATCAGGTGTCAGGTTCATGGGATGACGATTCTCCAAATCTTCACGGATGGTTACTTCTTGCTGCTCCAGGGAGATCAGGAACTTCTCTACTGCGTCTTCACCCGTATGTTGGAAAGTATCTGTCACGGTGCCATCACTGCGTACGACGATGTACGCTGCAGAACACGGTACGTGCTCCGCGTTCTGTGTTGTACGATTTCCGATGTTCTTAGGCTGTGCGTATGGTACGATAAGACTCTCAAAATCAGCATAAATCACGTACGGGGTCCGGAGTTGCTTCTCATATTGTGTGAAGCGCAGTTTCTCTCCCTTCTGCGGCATCACCGCTCGCGCAACAAGGTGATCTTTACAAAACATCTGATGGTTCTCCAGAGCTGTCTGGCTGCTCAGCACGTTCAAGCATCTGTAACACACCTTGCGTGGCACGCAACTTTTGTTGGCTATCAACCGACTCATATTTTTGATAAAGACCCAATGTTGATCCTCACACTCATTTGCAGTTTCACCGGAAAACAGGAGTAGATTGATAGCCTCCTGCGGATCTCCTTTTCTCGTCAGTCGCAGTGGAACGACTGTCTTCCCGTCTTCCGATATACCAAAGACGTTTATGGACAGATCTGCGTTGTTGCTTTCTAGCGTTGTGATGGTAGAGATACCTGCTGGGAACTCCACATCAGAAAAGTCCAGCTCATTGGCATACGGGACGTACTTACTCACACGGTTGTGGTTTGCACCAACATCTTCATGGTGCTTGGCGGCCAACAGCGCCCACCTCAAGCATTGGTTATCACTGTTGATGACGTTAATACAGGCTTTCTTAGCCTTTATGTGGTCGGGTAGAGGGATGAACGTCCCACCACCACCAATAGGTTGGAATTTGGATAATTCCAAGTATACGGCCTCTACGTCATCGATGATCCAACCTGATCCATTGCGCACAAACTCATCGATTTGAGAATCGATCTCCGCTGAAGCATCATCCAATTTATAACGTACATCATCATCATTCAAGATGATGGATGTTCGCGCGCGAACGTGGAAGGTTATGTAAACCTTGTCGCCCGTAACACCATCCTGCTTCATCAGACGCAGCCGGAGGATGATTGCTAGTTTGTACCTACTCAACACGATGAGATCAGTACGAAGCAACTCGCTAATGCTCCTATCCATCAACCGGAGCAGTGCTGCTGGATCCTGGTACTCTCCAGGGCTAAGGTAGCACACATAATTCCGAAGAAGTCCTCCATTATGCTGGATTTCAAAATCGAAAACTTTGCTCACTCTTCTTGGCTCCATTATACACAATCGAAAGCTTGCATCATTCGAAGTGGATGGGGTTCCATCAATTCCTGCACCTCCTTTTATCGGAGAAAAAAGCGCGGGTTAGTAGCTCAACCGAATTGCTGGAATTTCCCGGAACAGGTCGGAGCATGATGAAACCTGTTCATGATTCGAAAACCTTCTAGTTGATTCTGAGAACTTGCGTACGGGTGTTACTGTGTACAATGATCTACTCTATATCAACACTTTACAAACGATGTGTACACTAAGCTGGTGTTAACGTTGCGTGGTGTAGATCTACGGTGCGAACGATGTGTACACTAAGCATGAGCTGCAACCCTTTTGAATTACGTTACGTACGCTGTGCGTACTAGTTTATAGTATGAATCCTACCAGTAAGTCCCGCCGGTATTCGCGCGCTTCATGCTTTTATGTGTACGAGCTCACCTCGAATTAATTCATACGAGCTGGTTCAAAAATGTCAAACTTATTGGGAGTATTGTGAGAACGAGTAAAGTGCGCGAAAACTGACAGGAATCATATCCGGTAACTGCCAACACTCCTTCGCTGCACCTCTAAGATTATAGTCTTTCCCATTCCCTCTTGATCATGCGAGTAGATATGTGGAAGCTGATGGTGATAGTGGATGGTTCTTGACAATCGATCTTCCTGCGATTGAATAAAAAAATACGTACGTATTTTTTTCTCTTGTTGTGTGAAGTGCATTATAATTATTATGTTCTAGTTATGTGGTGCATTATGCCTTTGCTCGTAATTCCACTATTTATTCCAACAATCAGAATGTGAATAATAATAGTATCCTTTCGTCCATCTGAATGTGATTACGAGGTCATCCTGCGAAATTGAAGACTTTGATGAGTAGAAGTAGAATGTACCTGTGCACATACTTGAACATGTAGAAAAGAGGATAGCGGCAAGTTAGTTGACATGGCAATATTCTTGTGCAGTATCTACATGTAGGTTTTATTAGGACTATTGGTTATTAGGGTTGTCGTGGTGATTGGGTTAGTGAGGGAGACTTGTAAGAATTATCCATAAAAAATATACAATGATGACCCTCTCGTTCCATGCACACCACTTATACACATTAGTTCAGTATACCTCTAACAAAGCCCCTATAGCTTGTGTGGTAAGTATCATTGTTTTTAATCATATGTTCGCGGGTTCGAATCCCCTCATAGCAGAAAAAAAGAAGAAAAAAAGAAGAAAAAAAGTACAAGTTCTAAGATGAGTGTCATCAAGAGTAGATAAACAAGAGTGTGCAACTCCGGATGGATTGGCCCACGGCGGAATTTTTTGTTGACGTAATCTTTTCGACGACGCACGCGCTGCGAGCCTTTTGGAGAGTTTTCCCTCGTGCACTTGGCTGGGCTTTACACTACAAGGTCGGTGCCCAGCACGTGCTCTCACACTGCTCTGCGGCAAAGCCGCGTTTCTCTGAAAAAAGGTGACGTAAACAAAAAATTCCGCCGTGGGCGCGGGGTATCTGCAGATTGTGCAGGAGAGATCCGGAGTTGCACACTCTTGTTTATCTACTCTTGGTGTCATGCATTATTAGGGTTATTCAATGACGTCACATGGTAGCACATGACATTGAAGTTGATGACGTCATCATTCATCCTTTGTAGTTAACATGTTTCGATGATGTCACATGACATTCAAGTCGATGACGTCATTATTCATCCTTCGTAGTGGGCTTGTTCTGTATCACTGACGTCATGCAGGTCACGTGGCGCAGCCACGTGACCTGCATGACGTCAGTGATACAGAACAAGCCCACTACTATCTACTAACACTCCGCAGAGCTGCCGCTGTTGTGCCAAGGCCCATTGGCGCATGGTGTGTATACTAGTACTCCAAATCTACATGTATGATGATGGGTCACTGCTGACGTTTCTGCTCTTGGACAGTGCAACGCCGCATGAAGATATGTTGTGGCTCCACAATCGCTGAGAACGCTAGTGTGCGTCCATGGAATACTAAAACACAATAGGCGCGGCGCAGCTAGCGCCCACTTGGATGAATCGGAGTGGTGGCGAGTGCATTCTCCTTCCTCGGTGAACACTGCTGGTCACCCTGTTTGATGAACCACCAAACACCATCGGTGCAGGCCGCGTTTTTCGGAACCAGTCATTTATTCGTCCACCAACAATTGAAATTAATGTTTCTCACTTCAACACTCTGTAGAGCTGTCGCTGTCGGGACAAGGCCGTGTATACTCCAAGTCTACATGTAGGATGAAGAGTAACAGTTACTGCTGATAATGAAGTTTGCGCTCGTGGACAATACAACGCTGTGTGAAGTAAATTGTGGCTCCACAATCGCTCTGAATGCTAATGTGTGTCCATGGAATACTAAAACACAATAGGCGCGGTGCAGCTAACGCCCAACGTGGATGAAACGGACAACAGCAGCGGCTAGAGCGTTCTCCTTCCTCGGTGAACACTGCTACAAGACATTATGCTTGATGATTCACCAAACACCATCGTTGGGGGCCAAGTTTTCCGGCGCCAGCGAGTTGTTCGTCCACCAACTAACTTTGATGAGTCTTTCTTCAACACTTCGTAGAGCAGCCGCGCAAGGCCTTTCCTTCGCGTTAGGGTAGCGATCCTTCCTAGATGATATCGCTATTCATTGTTACTTTTTACTACAATGAGTGGTGTTTCTCCGAAAATAAAGTCAGCTGCCTACAGTCCATTCAGAAAAAAATGAACTTCTAGCTTTTGGCCATAAATGGGTCAAACGTTGAGTTTTTTTAGAATTTTTTTCTGCAATCCTCTATGGAATCCTCTTCCAATCCGCGATATTCATGTTAAAACAAAATGGCGTCACGATTTATTGAAAGTGGTATAGTTGGTGGAACGAGTGTTCAAACCCATTTGAACTTCATACTGTTCGTCTTCTTTTTGACATGCTCCCTTTCCATCGTCCTTAGCTTTTATTTGTTGAGAGCTGTTTTGGCTTTCTCCTATACCTCTGGGGGATGCCAAGTGATGGTTTTGAGAGGCTGGTGATGGCTGTGAGCGAGAGTTTGCCGATCGGCGTCGTCCTCGCTATAGCGATGAAAATACTAGTTACTGCGCACCTGGCAGATATCACAACACGTCGGAGCGTCCAGGAGCAAAGGAATCTTGGGTTTTCACTGGAATCTAGTTCCTCCAGCATCGTGTAGCCCACCGTCGGTGAATGGCGGTCCAGAAAGGTCGAACCTGGTCTTCTGCAGCATCTCGCAGTCCTGCGAGGCACACTGAATACGCCTGTCATGTATTCTACAAATAAAAATCACGAAGTTGTGGACTTTACAGTGATGAGTCTATCCTGTATGCTGCAAAAGACGCAGGAAATGTGACTGGTGTCTGTACACTCAGTGACTGGACGCCAACACCCCAGTCTTCTCCTGCAGGATCTGTTTGACATTGACATTATCCAGTAGGTCGGCATTGACCTGGTTTGGCAGCTATCGTTGTAGTATCTGCCTGGTTGGATGTAGCAGGTTGGTGTTTGCTCGTCGTCCAGTCCGGAATTTTCTTGTAACTCACGGTGGAGTACGCGCAGGGTTTGTGATCATCCCTGTTCACTTCAATATTATCAAACACAACGTTCCCTTTGTCACTCATCTTATCCTGAGTACTGAATTTGCTGACAATATTGCACCATACTTGTCACAACCTACCGCCACTGCTGGCGGTGGCGACTGGTTCGTCAATGGCGGTGACCAGGCTGACTGACTAGCTTCGAGACAGCGGCCTCGTTGTCAATCCCGCGGCAGCCTAAAGGTTGATTTTATTCATCCAGCCTCAGCGCCATGTTGACGATGCCCTAGTGACTGTGTGTCATGGATTGCCTTGCCATCAGCGGTCATTGCCGTCCACCTTGATGCAGCCCTCAACAACTGGCTCAGCCCATGGGAGTCTCAAGTGGACAAAATTGTTGCCAAAGTAGCTCAGAAGATTGGTGCATCGTGGTGTAGGTGAGCACATAACTAGGACTTCCCAGCGCCTATTTGTCCAGGCTGCGATACTATGTGACATGCTGTACTGCACATTCTTTTCAGCACTGCAAGGCCGGCAGCTGGACCGACTGCAGGGGCCGCGCACATGCAGGCCGCCTGTTGCCAGTGCAGCATTCTGGAACGTTCCTTCCTTCTGAGATCCGTGGAATAATAACTTTCTTTGCTTCAAAGCAAGTTGCTTACCTTTCTGTTGTGCTCCCAGTGTCCTTACAACAATAACCTACAGCAATGTTTTATTTTCCTTTCCATTCCCCAACCAATGAATACTACGATGTCGATTCTATTTCTGAATACTTTAGTGTGTGCCCGCGCACGCACGTGTGTGTGTATACCTCACTCGCCACTCGAAGTTCTGTTCCCCATCACTGGAACACTGCCTGTTCTTTCAGGACCTGCCATCATCTGCGGATGGGCATTCAATAATTGTATTGTGTGTGTGTTTCATTCAGAATCAGATCCGCTATCATTGCTATTAGAGAAAATCTGTGGGTTCACATCCAGTGCATTTTTAGATTTGCGTGCTTTTCTCGCCACGGGCGCATACATGGGACATTGTGTGTGTGTGCGTCTGTGTGTATGGGGATATTGTCTGTATCGGCTTTTGGTACTAATGTTCAGGTCTGTGCTTGCATGTGTGAACATGAAATTGTTCGGTTCTGTGCATTTTTTTTTTTTTTTCTACAAAATCCACATATCTCCAGACACTGGGGTGAATGATGGAGTGTGGTGGGGGGCCCATTAAGCTCCGCCGACCAGAGGTCTCGGCTTCATAGCTCCATGGACGCACCAAAGGGATATTGGGTGGGGAGGATTAAATTGAAAAAGAAAACAGAAGAAAGAAAATGGAAAGATTGTATTGCTCAGTGAGCAAAAGAATAAGTTGAGTATTGATGTGAACGCTGTTAGACTTTTAAATTCAAGAGGAGACTGCCCGTGAGGAGAGATTACATGTATGTCCAAGCAGGGTAGGACACTGTACCCT